GTCGGCGACACCGGACTCCGCACATCACTGCTGTGTTTCTCGCCCTCGGGAATGCACGTCGTTTATTTCTAATCGTGCTCATTTCTAGTTGTGCTCGTTTCTAGTTGTTCCCGGCCCCCTAGTGGCCAGGAAGAGGCCCAGGGTAGAACAATTAGAAATGAAAGGATCTTGGCCCCCAAAAAAATCAAAGAACTTTCGAAGAATTAGAAACGAACAATATGTAACTTCATGCATCGGAGTCTGGAGCGCTGGCAGAGTCACCACATATCAGACCATCTACCTGGCGCGCCGCCGCGCGAGGCTGGCGGCCGCAGGAACCACACATCTGGATGCGTGCCTTTCGACTTGGCCATCTCCAGCCGATGTCAGTAGGGTTGCGAGGAGCCCTGGCCAAGTTGCAATCGAATGACATGTGGTCGCCAGCTCGACGCAGGGAGGCGGGGTACGCCGACAGCGCCATCTGCGAGTTCTGCGGCCATAAGAGTGCGGACTTGGAGCATGAGCCGTTCCCCTGCAATGTGCACCAGCAGCAGGAGTCAGAGGAGTGCGAGCCATGCCGTGAGGATGACGTCAACATGCGAAGGGATATGTTTGAGCGCGGTCGCTGGGGTGCGGCCGCAATCTTGGATGTTTCGCCCATCGACCTCCTCGACGCCATCCCCTGCCTGAGTTCGGGCCCAGCGCTCCATCGACCCTGCCTGTGAGAGAATGGGGTACCGTGCATATATGGCCTGGCCGCGTAAATATATTTTCGCCGACGGCTCTTGCTTTGATCGTGATGTCCCTGAAGCCCGTAGATGTGGATGGGCCATTGTTGCACCCTCCTCCTCCTCCCCCTCCTCCTCTTCATGCTCCTCCTCCTCCTCCTCCTCCTCCTCCTCCTCTTACCGCACAAAGCCCTTTTCGGGGGTTTGGCGTGCGCCATTCAAACGGTCCACTCGGGCCGAGCGGTTTGCGGCGCTCCGAGGTCTCGCGGCTCGTCCCACGATGGTGGTCACAGACCACCTGCAGGGGGCTCCAGCTCGAGGGGAACCTCTGGGCAGGAAGGCGTGCTCGGGCGGGGGCTCCCCGTGCGTCGGTCTAGCAACAGATGCGTGAACTTGTTTTATCGCGACGATGATCGCCACCACGCTTTTGTTGTTTGGGCCACGGCCCATCGCAGCCTCGAGGAGGGCCTGCGCGCGGCCGTCGAGTCAGGGGAGCCCCCTGAGCGTCGCATCGGCAAGCTGTGGGCCGACGTGTTTGACAGACTCGCTGCCCTCGAAGGTCCAGGCTCGTCTGGTGTGTTCAAGGGTTAAGTCGGGCCTGTCCCCCTACAAGGGGATCTTGGACGAAAAATAAGAAATACTCAAAAAATACTTAAATAATACCACTGAGAAAAAACAATCATAATATGTTTAGGGCTGTAGGGCTATACGGCTACAGGGCTATATGGGCTCTTGGGCGCTATATGGGCTATATGGCTATATGGGTTATAGGGCTATAGGGCTATAGGGCTATAGGGCGATAGGGATATAGGGCTATCTATAAGGCTATAGGGCTACAGGGCACCGGGCACCCAGGCACCGGGCACCCGTCACCCGGGCACCCAGGCAGCGAACCTGGGCACCCGGGCACCCGGGCACCCGGGCACCCGGGCACCCGGGCCCGGCCACCGAATCGGCGGCGAACCTGGGCACCCGGGCACCCGGGCACCCGGGCACCCAGGCCCGGCCACCGAATCGGCGGCGAACCCAGGCACCCGGGCACCCGGGCACCCGGGCCCGGCCACCGAATCGGCGGCGAACCTCAAATCCTCTAGGACCCCTACAGAGGCAAGCTCCGCTTGGGAAAAGATGCCCAAGTTCGAGCTGGAGCGAGCGAGGGCCACCACGAGGTGTCTCGCTTTCGCCGCCGAGAGGGCCGCGAGGCCTGCCGCGCCCGTCGTCCGTCGTCCGATCGTGCGTGTCGTTCGTGATACGCGCGTGCGAAAGCCCACCTCGCATCGTTTCGTGGCACTTCCTGGAGATCGGATCGTCTGCACAGTATGATGGAGGCAAGCGTCGACCGTCCTCCCTCGAGTCCCGCTCCACCCTGGCGTGCGACCCTCAGGAAGTTGGGCCTGGCCAAAGTGGTCGAATGGATCGACCGCGTGGCCATTTGCTCTCGATGCGGTGCGCACGCCGTCAGACCCAATCGATTGTCCGTCGGCCTCTGTAGGGTCTGTCCTCGAGGCGGGGTGGGAGGCGGGCGGGATCCACGAGTCCAGTCTATGTTGGAGGCGGCCCAGCGGGGGCTCCACCAGAAATCGGGAGAGCGGCTGGGGGCGCTCATCTTTTCAGAGCTGGTGCCTGCCGCGGAGGCGCCCGCGGGCGACAGCGAGACGCCGGAGGCGGGGGCTGATGCCGCTGCCGCCGCCATCCCTTGAGGTCTGCTGAGGAATGCTTTTCCCTTCCTTTAGTGCTGTGTCCTCGTGATTCACTTGGACTCTTGACTCTTGCATTCTTGTACTCCTCTTTTTCCTCCTCATTCTCCTCCTCCTCCTCCTCCTCCTCTATCTCCTTCCCTTGCCCCTCTTCCTCCTCGTCCTGGTCCACTTCCTCGTCCTCCTCTTCCTCCTCCTCCTCCTCCTCCTCCTCCTCCTCCTCCTCCTCCTCCTCCTCCTCCTCCTCCCTCTCCTCCTCCTCCTCCTCCTCCTCCTCCTCCTCCTCCTCCTCCTCCTCCTCCTCCCCCTCCTCCTCCTCCTCCTCCTGCTCCTCTTCCTGCTCCTCCTCTTCTTCCTCCCCCTCCTCCTCGTTCTCCTCCTTCTCCTCCTCCTCATCATCATCAGCATCATAATCACCACCATCATCACCATTGTCATCATCATCATCATCATCATCATCATCATCATCATCATCAGCATCAGCATCACCACCATCATCACCATCATCATCATCCTCATCATCATCAGCATCATCATCACCACCATCATCATCATCAACAACAACAAAAATCATTTTAAGACTGTTCGCCCTTATCTGCTCGAAAGTCGAATAACGCGGATTTCCCAAACCCTCGATACCAGGTCTCTTCGTCTTCGATCGAACCCCTTTTGGGGGGTATACCTTTCTTCCCTGCAGTCCGGGCCCCGGCAAGCGGCGGGGCGGCCGCGGACCGTCGGCCTGACCAGCGGCAGCGCTGATCGGCGGGGCGGCCGCGGACCGTCGACCCGACCCCAAGAGGGACGGACAGGGGACCGACCACGACGACGACGACGACGACGACGTCGACGACGACGGCAACGACGGCGACGGCGACGACGACGACGAGCGAAAGCGAGAGCGAGAGAGAACGACAGCAGAGCCACGAAGGACACGAAGTTGGCCACTGAAGGGCGACAGCGGGGACACGAAGGGAATGCGTATGGGTCCACGAAGAGCGCGAACGAGCGTGGGCCACGAAGTGCAGATAATGCCGGGCCACAGAAAGCAACGATGGGGCCACTGAGGGTAGCACCTGGGCCACGTAGGACAATGAGGGGGCCACAAACGGCGACAGCGGGGCCACGAAGGGCATGCACATGGGGCCACAACGGGCGCGAACGAGCGGGGGCCACGAAGGGCATACGTATGTTGGGCCGCCACTGAGGGCAGCAACGGGGACACGAAGGGCAGCGAGGGGGCCACGAAAGGCGACAGCGGGGCCACGAACGGCATGCATATAGGGCCACCACGGGCGCGAACGAACGGGGGCCACGAAGGGCATACATATAGGGGGCCACGAAACAAAGCGACGGGGCCACGAAGGGCTGCAACGGGGCCACGAAGGGCAGCGAGGGGGCCACGAAACAAAGCGAGGGGGCCACGAAGGGCTGCAACGGGGCCACGAAGGGCAGCGAGGGGGCCAGGAAGGGCTGCAACAGGGCCACGAAACAAAGCGAGGGGGCCACGAAGGGCTGCAACGGGGCCACGAAGGGCAACGAGGAGGCCACGAGGGGCTGCAACGGGACCACGAAACAAAGCGAGGGGGCCACGAAGGGCTGCAACGGGACCACGAAACAAAGCGAGGGGGCCACGAAGGGCTGCAACGGGGCCACGAAACAAAGCGAGGGGGCCAGGAAGGGCTGCAACAGGGCCACGAAACAAAGCGAGGGGGCCACGAGTCCTAAGCGTGAGCGCGACTCCTGGGAGCGCGGCGCTGGAGTAAATTGCAAGAAATTCCAACGCAAGGGCGCTATTCTTCAGTAAATTGCAAGCAAGTCTCCAGCGAGAGCGCGACTCCAGAGCGCAGGAGGAGCGATTCCTGAATGAATCGTAAGGACGTCCCAAGCGAGAGCGCGATTCTTGAATAAAATGCGAGGAAGTCTCGGGCGGGAGCGGGGGTCCTGGCTAAATTGTGAGGAAGTCTAAAGCGAGAGCCGTTGTTGTTGTAACCCGGGGGCCAGGGGGCCAGTTTGAGCAGGAAGACTTTCCTTGACAAAAAAACAAGGTGCGAGCCCCGGGGGGGCACTCCAATTGAAAACAACAATGTGCACAGGTGGGGGGATCAACAATCATTATTCTTCAAGAATGAGTTCAGTAACAACAACAACAACAACAACAACAACAACAACAACAACAACAACAGCATGATCATCATCATCGACAACTACATCATCATCATCACCATCATCATCATCATCATCATCATCATCATCATCATCATCATCAGCATCAGCATCATCATCATCATCATCATCATCATCATCATCATCATAAGAATCATCATCATCGCCACCATCATCAACAGCAACAACAGTCATTTTAAGACAGTTCGCTACGATCTGCTTGCGTGTCGAGGAGGATGGAGCACGAGAGAGAGTAGCAGGAGTGGGGCTAGGAGCAGAAAACACGTGGCAAAACCAGACGGGCAGCGATAGCGCGATTCCCAAATAAACCGTGATGAAATCCACACGCAAAATTGCGAGGAAGTCCTACGCGAGAGAGCGATTGCTTCATAAAGTGTGAGGGAAACCCGCGCGAGAGCGCGGTTTGAAAATA